TTGTGGTATGCGAGGAGAATACTCAGAATGTCATGGGCACAGAGAAAAACAAATTATAGAGAAGTGCCCCCAGGCGGCGACCGAAACCTACTCTTATCGATTTTAGGACTACCAAGGGATCTTTAACGCGCACAACTTTTACGCAGGACTCCTGAGATTATTCACCCTTATTCGATAAAGCTAAGTGTTAGATCTTACCTACCCTACGGATAAGGGTGTGGCTGAGAGACAGCAGTAAGAAGTAGCTTGGATTAGGAGTACCAGTAAAAAGTCATGAGTAAAGGAAAGAGAATTAAAGATTGCGTGACACTGACACAATGTAACTGAACTATTTGTTTCGAAAACTGGCCACGTAGCTCTCCCTCTGCAAAATTAGGGAGCAGAGACTTTGAGACACCTGACATAAGGCATGCTAGTTTCCATAAAACCACAAACAAAATCCTACCTTGGTGTAACTAGAAAAAATAGCTACTGACTGAAGCTTGACTCCGTAGGTGATGCCATTGCGGCTCAGACCAGACTCTCTGAGGACTCTGTCCACAGCCTGGTATTGGTGCACCAGCCAGCTGATAACGCCTTCCACCGAGTTCTGACCTATGCTTTTGAATGTTTCGTAGTCTACCATGGCGAAAATATCGCAGGTGTCCTGGCGAGTTCTTTCCTCCTCTCGGAATCGCCTGGAGCGCCTTAATAGGCCGGAGCGAGTGAATGTAGTAGGCGTGTGCTGTGAGAGCAAATTTCTCGGTTTCCTTTTGAAAGTATTGCTCTCCTTGTCGGCTGGATGAAGGGGAGCATTCTTGTGAGTTTTATAGCCGCGGTCGAATTCTGTACCTACTTCTGTCATGTTATTCCCCATACTTGAATCGTGCCTATCGTTGTTTCTGGCTGCATACGCAAACTTGATCAGTGATGGCTCATTCCAGCCATTCGACTTATCGTCGTAAATTGTACTCTTAGCTTCGTTATGAGAACTGCCGCTTGCATTCAAATGCCAAATATAATCTCTTTCAAATTCTCTCGAGAGAGTTTCTAAATTGACAATGTGTTTCCTGTATTGCTCGTTTTTCTTTACCACTTTCCAATTGTCTTTGAATAAGCCTGTACTCCACGCTTCATCCTCTGAAGCATACGATTCCCACTCTGCAGAATGTTCAACACCATCCAAATTGACAACATCACAAACCAGACGCTGGGCTCCGGGTTGAGTATTATTCTTTATAACGTCCTTATCCCTGTATACAAGCATGACATTTCTCGATCTTCGAGGATCAAAACGATTCAATGGTTCAACAACGTAAGAGTCTTTAGGGGTCAAAATCTGAATGTACCATACACCCTTGATGTGAACTGCATCAACAGCAGAGAGATCGTGCCCTTCTATAAACCCTGAAAATATTCCGTCCTTTCTAATATTCACCTGCGTGGGTTTTCCACCAGCGTCAACAACGAAGGCTGTGAATTCTGAACTTAGCACTCTGGTGTCAGGGTACAAACGTAAGCAGAATCGCTTTTTCAAAGCAAAAAAAGAAACCCTTTGGTATTTTATGCTTTGTGTTGTGGTGTCCCTTTTCACGCGGATATTAATACTCCCAGTCTCTATTTCTTCGTAATGATGAAACGTCGAATGCAGACACGCGTTTGAAAGCGAACTAGAAGCCACCAACAAAGATAAAAGAGATTGGAACACACTGATTAGCATTTTGAGTAAGCAAACATGCCGAACAACTCATCTGTCTACATGACCTCTCGTTTGACACTGATACATGTCACGCAACACGTCTGATAATGTGCCTCATCAATGGTCACAAATGAAATTCTAAACACAGTTTTAGAAAGTATAAGAGTTCGTGAATTAAATATGTGAAATCAAACCCTCTTTTGAAATTACGAATCTTGGGCTTGGTTTAAGACCATAAGGACAGACTCGGCGCGACTTCAAAGAATATTGTCCAGCCATGATGACAGCATAGATTCTACTATGAAATTCTTCAGATCACAAAGCAATATTTATTATGGGCAAAGTTCCTGTTTCCAACGTTCTCAATCTGAAACTATGAACTACGAACGACGGCGAAATCTAAGGTGAAATCCATAAACTCAACTAGATCTAGATCTTCTTGAAGACTCCTAATATTTATAAAGATACGCTTCCATATTAAGGGCATTTTGAATTTGAAAACTTCCTGTTTCATATTGATTCACTAAGACATTTTCCGTGCTATGGAAAAGTGAACACAACCTGTGGTGCGAAATCTGTCAACAGTTCAGTCACGAGTAGGGGATTCACGCAGTATTTCATTATCTTTAATTTTAGGCTTCTATTACGCAGTGTGCTATATCGCATACATTAGTTTGTGCTCTCTCTCTCTCTCTCTCTCTCTCTCTCTCTCTCTCTCTCTCTCTCTCTCTCTCTCTCTCTGTGTGTGTGTCTGTCTGTGTGTCTGTGTGTGTGTCTGTGTGTGTCTGTGTGTGTTGGGGT